TATGTAACAAAAAAAATAAAATAAATGAAGTTAATAAATATTTCATTCTCAAGTCCTTATTTTTCCATTTCCTCAATTTTGTCTATATAAATTCATATTTACTTTATGAGGATTCACATACAAAATTATTATTTCTCTTCTTTATCATATTTGTTTGTGAATTAACTAACATGTAACAAAAAAGAAGTACACGAATGTAAGAGATATTTCATTCTCAAGTCTTTCTTTTTATTTCTATGTACTTAGACGTGTTTTTTTTAAATATTTTTTTTATGTTTGTATTATCATTCATCAAGCAAGTATGATTTTTAAAAAATGACTTTGTAATTCTTAACAATGACGTATTGTAAGTATGCAATTATTCTTTCTAATAGTCACTTTTCCGAATATAATATAGTTTGATAATAATATTTGTTAGATTTCAAGAAATGATTATTATGTAGTATTGTTAGTACTATTGAAAAAATAATGTACAAATATAATATTAAAAAATAATGTACAAATATAATATTAAATATTATTTATAACGCGTGTCACTTCATCTTACTTGTAACTTATAATATTAAATATTATTCATAATTTTTGTATGTTTCATTTTTCATAATTTTATAAATATTTAATTAATGTTTAAAAAATTATAATAAACAAATGTAATAATAAAGAACACATAATAAAATATTTAATTTTTTTTTACTAAGAGTTTGTATAGAAAATTAGTACTCCTACAAAAGATATAGGAAATTAAAAACATATAAAATATTTTCAACGTAATACAATATATTGTTAATTTCAACATATTACCTCTTATTCCATTTAGTCCACCACGGTGAATATTTTGTTCTACTATATACATATGAATAGTTTGCATTTTAAAAAAATGTAAAAAATAAAATAAAATAGATATATATGTTTTAAAAAAAATGTATGATATCGCAAATGAAGAGAAATATCGATATTATCTTATATATTCAATACTAACCTAAATATAAATATTACATATAAATAATTCATATAGTCGCACGAAGCATGGATAATTTCACTAGTAAAATTATAATTCAAATAAAAGAGTAGTTAAGCATTACATTAATAAAATATTAGAAAAAAAATCATTTTTTGATAAACATTAAGATATGTGAAGTATAAATAAATTTTTTAATTTTGATAAAAATGAAATGGAACTACATGACTATTTTTAAATGTGCTCCTATTTAAATAATAGTGAAGATAGAAATTAAAGAGAGGGAAAAGTTTAAACAAAATTTACGTAGGGTTTTTTGTTTCCCTCGCTTTTAACCTAGTAACTCATTTATTCCCTCCATATTTCCACCAACACCATTTTCTGAAGCTTTCCCTCCATCTTCCCACCTTCCCCTCAATCTTCCCACTTTCCCCTGTCCTCCACTTTTCTTGGTGACAAAACTTCCCTTCCGAGAGCTATAAATTTCCCTATAATCCATTTTGGAGAGATGGAATCAGATGGTAGCATCAGGTCAGTTTTATTTTACTTCAACTAAATTTCTTCTAAGTTTACATTTTGCTTTCATCCATATTGTTGGGCACACGTTTTTTGCTTTATATTAGGATTTGTTTTTACTGCCAAGCTTTATTGATATTGTGACATCGCGTAATTTTTTATTTTCTGCGTATTCGAGTGGTATTAAACAGATTCCCTTTGTCAATTACATGATATTACCATGTCATCTCAGAACTTGTTCATATTTGATTCACCTCTCTGTTCTTTATGAATATGCAGTCATGCCAAAGATTAAACGTTTTAAGAATCCACTAAAGTCAGCTAATGGACATGCTTCATCATCAACTACTCCAGTGGCACAAGACCTCCCAGTTGCTTCAACAAATCCCTCACAAGCTGATGGAGTCCCACAACAAGAACAAACTCCAATTCTGCCGCAGCACGAACAACCTCCAATTGCCCTGCAGCAAGAACAAGCTCCAATTCTACCTTCTAATTCAAGTGCAACATCTCTGCACCCACGTCCATCTGCACGTTATTGGAGAGTAGAGGCTAAAGGTATATATTTCTTATGTCATTTTTAGTTCAACTTATGAGTACCTTTTTTTTCTTTTTTGGTTAAGTACACTCATATGATTTTTTTGTTAAAGATTCAGGAAAACGCTAATATAGCAGATTAATGTCAAAGGTTAATGAGGTGTTAAATAATCTAACTGTTGGGAAGCGAGCATCATTTGTGGACTTTGACGCATACAATTCAGCATATGGTGATGCACAGGGACTGCTCGCTGGATATTGTGGATCATTGGCAATTGATTGTAATTTGTTCCCGATTAGTTTTGAGAGGTGGTCAGGGCAATCAGGCATGCCTAAGAAGTACATGGAAGACTGCTTTGAAACAATATTGAAGGTACAAGTGTTCTTGCATATATATATATGCACACAATTTTTCGAAAGATTTTTGAATACATGAGAAAGCTAACTTCTATTTTTTATTTAAAGCCTCGATTTCTTTTTCGGGTATGTGAGTCCATTGCATACAGATATTGCAATAGTAGCATTTCAAAAAAGTGGGCTACACATAGGCAGAGATTGTGGAATGAATATTTTGACCCTGCAAGAAGCAAAAATGAGATCATTAGTAATGTGCCATCTGGTATAAATAAAGATCAATGGGCTAGTTTTGTTGCTTACCGTCTGAAACCATCAACAATGGTAAGATTCTGATTATGTTAATAAGTTTTGTTTCATCATAATTATATAAAGATGAACATTTTGAGTTGCCGCTGTTATTGTTGATAGGAGCTTTGTAGAAGAAATAAGGAAATCCAGAGGAAGCAAAAAATGCCACACACTGGTGGTTCAAAGGCTAACTCGAGAAGACGTTATGAGATGGTATGTGCATTTAACTTAATAGTTCTGATTTGTCTTTAACTAAACTGTTTTTGGATAACATTTATAATACATTTCTTTCTTAGTTTCTGGAAACTGGTAAAGCTCCTAGTCGAGGAAAAATGTTTATTGAAACTCATAAGAGAAAGAACGGATCATTTGTGAATGCTGAGGCTCAAACTATAGGGGTAAGTATGGCATCGATGCATTTTTTGAATATCAATTTCATTGTTATTGTATAGTATTCTTCATCTATTACTATTTTATACTTACTATTGATATTGATATGATCGTAGGAACAAATTGAGTCACATATGACTCATTGTAACACTAATGAGTCTGAAGTTTCCCCAGAAGATATTGTTGGTAAGATATTAGGGGCAGAACACTCTGGGAGGGTAAGATGTATGGGTATGGGAGCAGCTCCATCAAACACATTCTTGAATACAAAGCGACGACTTAGCGAGCTGAGCATTTCTTCATCTAGCTATGATGAATCATCTGCAACTTCTACATATTTGCATCAAAAGGTTGCGCGTTTGGAGTCCAAACTTGAAGAAACCTTCAGTGTGCTGAAGAATTACATGATATCTAAGGAAGGAGGGATTCCTGAAGAATTAGCTACTATGTTTGCTCCTCAACCACCGGTAAGAAGTAAATATTCTTTGTACTTCTTCTATTACAATCAGTTCTGATCAGTTTAGTAATATTGTACTTCTATGTGATTTCTGCCTAGTTGCCTTAACGTAAATAAAAGTCCATGCCCAGGTTTTGATTGATCAGATCAAAGTATGAACTTAGTTCTTGATTGTACTGAGGTGGCTATAGTTGTTTAGTCTCCTGATAGCTCAGATTCTCTCTGTTTTTCTTGATTGACTGTGGAATAGTCGGTTCAAACATGTGAATGTTTTTTTTATTTTAACCTCTGCACAAAGCCATACTTTATATAACATAGTTTCTAACATGAGAGTGGAACAAGAACATGATTGAAAGCCTACGGAAAGATTTTTAGTACTAGAACTACATGATGTCTGGAATATGTGGCGTGATACAATAATGATTCGTCGTGTCTCTTTCTTAGTAAGGCCAGTAGTCTTTTTATTGTACAAAATAGTTTTCTGCTTTGGTAGTTACGTACTCACCAATCAACCTTGTAAAATTGTGCATTTCTAAAGGCTCAGGATAGGATCTTTGCAGAAACTCTACTAGAGTGAGTTGTATTGAATACCATTTTTTTTGCAGGACTGAAATTGTTTCACATATGGATGAAGAGGCTCATCAAGCTGATAACAATGCAAATCACCAATCAAATGCTTAATGTTTTTCTTTGTGGACTACTTTTAGTGCTTTTCATGTCTTTGAATTTGTAATGGTTGTCTAGAGTTGTGTTTACTATGCTTTAGTTTTTGACGTTCAGTACTTATTAAATTTGTGACTTTTGCTATTATGGGTATTCTAATGGTAAATCTTTTTATGTTTTACATAGAGATTGTTCAGTGGATTATTTATGCATATGATTTAAATTTAAACTTAAGTTGATATATTCTAATAACCTAAGGTCCAGTTACAAAATAGGTCCAGAAAGTTGTTCTGATATGGCAAGATTCTTACATAGAACAACTAAATTATTATTTCTCTGTTCTTACTAGAAAATACCAAAATGCGCGCTCATGAACCATGTCTGAATAGAAACATAGCAGCAGGCTAGAAATATGACAACAGCCTATGCGCTTGATCTTTCTACCTGACAAGTGAAAACATTGTTGCTGCTGTTATTTGGGTACAGAGATCGGGATTATCTATAACTCGCAAACTCTGCCGAGTACAGGCACTGCTATTTTGCTGGATTTCAGTGTAGCTATTATTAGAAAGCTTGTTCTACCATGTTCAATATTTTTTTTTTCCTCATTTTAATGCTTACATAGTTATAGTTATAAGGTTTATTTAGTAGTAGGAGAACTTATTCAAAGTCAATATCTTGTGCCCATTGCCCAAACTTGCTTGGGATCAAGGAGTGCGATTTAGGTGAGAGTAGTGTGGGCAAGCATGAGCTACATATTTAGAATGTAATGTCAAGTTTAGAGCACTTTACTAGATCAAATTAAATTGATACTATAATTAATTATTTTTGCAAGTTTGTATTTTGTCCTCTTATGCTTGATCTCGCAAACACAATCTCTTCCTTGCTCCACACACCTTGAGCAGCTTGTCGAACCAAACAGAGACAAAAAAACAGGGACAGGAGCTATGTATATATTATTGACGCAGGAAAAGATTGTTTGCACATCAACACAATCAAAAAGCTTGTGTTAAAATCAGTGCTTCATTGCACTCTCAGTTTTGAGATAGCAGCTGTGAAAATCCAGTGTAAAATATCACATAATGCGTGCAACTCTATCCTCCAGAAATAACACCCAGCTGGCCATTATATTGCACCAAAACAGTAACTTTGTCATGATACTGTGAAATGCATCACATCATGTCAATCCTTTTGAAATGTATGAACATTATAACATTCATGCACGAAACGATGACCATTGCATTTTATCTAAATTGAGATTTCGTCGGACTTGTAATGGAAGTTCTTTAAAAGAGTAACCATCTACTTCTGCTTCATATGACATATTCATAAGAGATAGCCTCGGTGAAATTTGTGGAGAGCTTGTATGTCCTTATCCACCTGGTATTCCGGTTTTAATTCCTAGTGAGATCATCACAGAAGAAGTATTGAATTGTCTCCTGGAGATCAGAAGCAAGGGTATTATTATTACCTGAGCAGCTGATTACTCCCTATCATCTTTTGTTGGTATGTGTTACCTAAGCATTCTTCCGTCACATTAGTAAGTAGTTGGAAGTACAAATGCGAGTGACTTGGTGTTAGACCACCCTGCATTTGGCATTTGAGATCTTAGGCTTTCCTGTATTGCAGACAGCGGTTTTGGGTACAGTTTGAGTTCCAAAAGCAACTTCTTTTGAGCTTTCAATGGGAACTGTCATGAGCCTATTACAGGAAACTGGTAACTCAAAGGCACCTCAATAAGACTATTATGTTAGACATGGCTACTCTGGGTTTGTTTTTTCATAAAAGCAAAAACATTCATGTTGCCTCTATTAATGCTCATCTCAACATTGATTATTCTGGTCAAGGAAGGTGGACTATTTCTCTATCAGCAAAGCAAGAGCTAGGGGACTATAGCAGCAAGGGGCAACAAAATGATCCCTCATCGGACTGGATAAAAGCAATACACGCAGGCAGAGGCGAACCCAAGATTTGCAGATTGGGGGTGCACCACTATCTTTTAATTTTTTTGGTTATTGAAGCAAAAATAAAGAAGAAAAAAAAACAGTGCCTATGCTGGACTCGATTTTGGTTATTGAAGGCAAAAATAGAGAAAAAAATAGTGCCTATGCTGGCCTCCATTTTGGTTATTGAAGACAAAAATAGAAAAAAAAAATATAGTTCCTAAGTTGGACTCGAACCAACGACGTGGTGGGTAATAATAGCAACACCAACCAGCTCAACTACGTGGAGTTTTGGGTTAATGAAGTGCACAATTTTATATAATCCTTACTTAAGGTATCTATAAATATATATAATTTGTTTCGAAAAGTTACCGGGTGCACCTCACAGATCAATGTAGGTCTGCCTTTGCATGCAGGTGAAGTAAGTGAAACACCGGCAAGCTATATACTCATTAGATGGCATTTACAATGGACGCTCTAGTTCATCTAAAACCAACATGCTCTTTAGTAGGGGTGTACATAGGTCGGTTTGGTTTGAATTTTCATTAAAAAGAACCTAAATCAATTATATCGGTTTATTAAATTTAAAAACCAAATCAAACCACATAAAGTCGATTTTTTCGGTTTCGGCTTTAGTCGGTTCTTACTGTTTTTTTCGGTTTCTTCTGTTTTTTCCAACTATACAGTGTTTGAAAAAGAGATCAAATATATTTTCACTTACATGTGTGATAAGATAAACTTAAAAAATGTTAAATGAATAGAAATTTTTGAAAAGACGGTAAAATTCACATGAGTACAATTTTTTTTTAAAAAGTATCAACGCTCATTATGTTAAATTAATAAGATTAAAGGCTACATACAAACTAAATACAAAACAAATATTTACAAATTAAATTGTTAACTTTGAATTTGAAAAAGCTATAACAATATAATTGCAACTTCAGATCTTAATACAAAATAAAATATTTACAAATTTTACAAGCCCAAATTTGAAATAAAATATATAAACATTGAAAACTAGAAATTAACTAAAAATATATTAACAAAGTAGATTATAATAATATTTTTATCTATAAATAAAATAAAATAATATATTTATATATATATATATATATATATATATATATATATATATATATATATATATGATATTTGCAAAATTTTCCAAGCCCGAATTTGAAATAAATATATAAACATTGAAAACTATAAGCTAACTAAAAATATATTAACAAAGTAGATTATAAATAATATTTTATATATATATATATATATATATAGAGAGAGAGAGAGAGAGAGATTTTATGTTGGTTTGATTTGGGTTCGATTTGACTTTTTTTCTTTTAATACCAAACTAAACCAATAGTGATCGATTTTTTTTTTCAACCACCAAACCAAACCACAAATTGGTTTTTTTTTTCGATTTGATTTGGTTCGTCGGTTCGGTTTGACTTTACGGTTTGGCTTGTACACCCCTATTCTTTAGTGTATGCTCTTCCTCTTTTGGGGACAGTTGGTAAATTGGCTTCTATGTTGATTTAATAAATTTTACTATGTCCACTTAAAATTTTAGTAAAAATTAGGGCAGATCATATCTGTCGCTAGTTGAATTGATTATGAGATACTTGTGAGCCATGAAGGAAAAAGTCGTGTGTTGATCAAAATTGAAGTTAAATGTATGTGTTTTTAATTTTACGTTTTTCATCAATATTTTATTATATAAGTTATCCTATCAATGTTTACGTGATATGTTTGAGGATTTCTATATGACGATATTCTTCTTTGACCACTCGAGCTAAATAATATCAGAATAATCATTTTGAAGAACTTAATAATATTTTCTTTTAATTTTTATCTTATAACTCAAACGTATAACTCAATAATATGATTTGATTTTAGTTTTTTTTTTTATATATATAGTGACAAAGCCTGTTAGTCTAAATTAGTAAGCAGTAAGTTTCTTCAAAATAAATGAATAGATAAAAAAAGCTATTTACTACCCAAAGATATAATTTTAATTCCTAAACCTTATTTTTCAATTTCAAAATTGTAAATAAAAAAGAATCCTAGTCCATTTAGGTTTCAAAAGGTATTTACTGCATCCACAGTTGAGCAGATTTAGGCACAAAGAAAAACCTTCTCCATAGCACAACCGTAGAACTATCCAAATCTTTTCTTTCTGATTAGGTTTCCCCTCCTTTCTCTACTACTTGTTCCATCCTTTACTATATATGTATACAAGAAGTCCTTTGTGGGATTCTTAGCAGATTCTTTCTATCCTCTGTCAATTTCTGAAATTAATTTGGTTTGAACGAGCAATTTGGGATTCCTGGAGTAGATTGCAAGTACAACAAAATTTAAAGGTATTCCTGCATTAGGGGGATTTCTTTTGGAGGTATACTCTAACTTGTCCCTGTTAATTTCTTTTTGTTACTTATCAATGGATAAATCATGGATTGGAAAGCCACAGACCTCAAATGAATACTTGCTTGGTTTGGATAAATTTCTTGATTTTGCATTTAAAAATGCGGCTGTGGATGATACAATCAGATGCCCATGTCCCATGTGTTGTTTTGGCAAGTGGAAAACTAGAGACGAAGTGCAGGATCATTTGGTTTGCAAGCCATTCCCTCAAAATTATGTTATTTGGAATATTCATGGTGAGAAAAAGCTATTAGAGTCTTCTGGAGATAGAGTTGTTATGCAAGAGACGTTCCGTCCAGAAAATCCAATAGAAACAATGATTAGTGACGCATTTGGGCAGTATAGGCAGCAATCGGCTGATGTAGGAACATCTCAACCATTTGGTTCAACTGAAACATCAAATGAGGGGCATAGGGAGGATACTGGTGACTTTCGCGACTTTCTCAAAGATGCAAGTGAAACACTGTATGAAGGGAGCAAGTATACAAAGCTAGAGTTTTTAATAAAATTGTATCATATAAAGGTCTATTGTCGATTAAGTGACAAGGCAATGACCATGATACTAGATTTATTGAGAGATGCATTTGAAGATGCAAAGTTACCTCCTTCTTTTTATGAGGCCAAAAAAACAATTAGCAAACTTGGCCTTGACTACACCAATATACCAGCATGTCCAAATAATTGTATGTTATTCTGGGAAGGTGATTCTGAATTGGAAGCATGTAAGCATTGTGGTACATCTAAATGGAATCCTAACAAGAAAAACAAGCAAGCTGCAAAGGTTTTGCGTTACTTTCCATTGAAACCAAGGTTGAAAAGGTTATTTATGTGTCGCAAGACTGCAGAGCATATGAGATGGCATGCTTTGGACAGTAACTCAGATGGGTTGATGAGGCATCCAAGGGATGGTGAGGCATGGAAGACATTTGATCGAACTCACTCTGGATTTGCTTCTGATCCTCGAAACGTTCGGTTGGGCCTCGCTAGCGATGGTTTTAATCCTTTTGGAACAATGAGTACTACCTACAGTATTTGGCCAGTCTTCTTGATTCCGTACAATCTTCCTCCTTGGATGTGTATGAAGCACACCTCTTTCATCTTATCAATGATCATTCCAGGCAAGCAGATGCCTGGAAATAATATAGATGTGTACTTACAGCCTCTTGTGAAGGAATTGTGTGAGTTATGGAATGATGGTGTTGAAACGTTTGACTCATCATTGAATGAAACTTTCAGAATGCATGCAGCTCTTATGTGGACAATTAGTGACTTTCCTGGATTAGGTATCCTCTCTGGCTGGAATACACATACTGGTTTTGCTTGCCCAACTTGTAACTTTGACACAGAACCTTGTCGTCTTGTTCATAGTAAAAAGTGTTGTTTTATGGGTCATCGTCGTTTCCTGAGAAGAAATCACAGGTTCAGATTCAACCGAGTGCGCTTCAATGGAAGCACAGAGGAGCGGAATCCACCAATAAAACTATCAGGATCTGACATTTTGAGACAAATTGCGGAAGGTAAAGGAGCAAAGGTGGATGGTAAAAGGAAAAGATCTAGACGAGCAACTAAACAATGGAACAAGAGAAGTATATTTTTTGAACTTCCTTATTGGCAATCTAACTTGTTGCGTCATAATCTAGATTTTATGCATATTGAAAAGAATATATGTGACAATATCATATATACGTTGCTCCATGATAAATCAAAATCAAAAGATAATGAAAATGCCCGAAAGGATCTAAGAGAAATGGGCATAAGGCGTGATCTTTGGCTGAAGGATAATGGATCATATAACCTTGCTGTGTTTTCACTAATGACTGATAGCAAAAAGAAGGTGGACACCAAAAAGTTGTTTCTTACAACTTTAAAGAATATTAAAGTACCAGATGGCTACTCAAGTAACATCTCCAGATGTGTAGATTTGGTACAAAAAAAGATTTTTGGGTTGAAAAGTCATGATAGTCATATTATTTTAGAGCAATTTCTACCACTGGCAATTCGTAATGTATTGCCTGACCATGTAGTTACCGTTCTGGTGGAATTCTGCTCATTTTTCAGAGCCATCTCTAGCAAAACCTTGAATATTTCAGAGCTAGATATTCTTCAAGAGCGCATTATAATCACACTTTGTCACTTAGAGATACTATTTCCTCCATCATTTTTTACAGTAATGGTTCATTTATCTGTTCATTTAGTAGAGGAAGCAAAACTCGGAGGTCCAGTGCATTACCGAAACATGTATCCTGTGGAGAGGTAAAATATTAACCTTCTAATATAAATATGTTTGTTTTCTGGAAACATTAACATTTCTAAATTAAAGATATTTATGTTATGATCACTTGAAATATATAGTTTGTACTCTTACTGTCTCTTCTTTTTGTAGGGAATTAGGTCATTTTAAGCCCTTTGTACGGAATAAATCACAATCAGAAGGTTGTATAGCTAAGGGTCACATAGCTGAAGACACTCTTACCTTTTGTTCTTACTATATGGAGGATATTGAAACAAGGTTCAATAGACCTAGGCGTGTCCGTGATGATCCAAACTACATTCAGCCTTCTGGAATGTTGACTATCTTCCCTCAGCTAGGTAAACCTGCATCAGCTCCAGAAAATTACCATTTAGCTCCTATGCAGAAACTACAAGCTCATCGATATGTGCTTTTGAATTGTTCAATAGTCACACCATTTGTGGAGTGAGTAACTTTTACAAACTTTATGTTTTTTTGTTGTTGTAATGTTTGCAGTAGGATAGTCATTCTATTTAACATTAATTTTCTTATTTCATATAGAGAATTTAGACAACACATAAGGAGGAGTTCACGAGGAAGAAGACCTTCACCTACAGAGATAGAGAGGAAAGTTAATAAAGAATTTGTAGATTGGTTCCAAAAACGGGTGAGTAAACAATCATTGCTACTATTTATATTTGGTCTGAATGAGAAAATTTGACGAAGTCGGTTTTTAAAATTTAGATTATGAATCCAGACTCAATAGACACTATGTCTACTGATCTAAAGTTTTTAGCACGAGGTCCATCTGTAAATGCAAGAAGATATACTGCATATAATATCAATGGGTCTAAATTTCGAACTTTGGCTCGAGAAGAAGGTCTGAAAACACAGAATAGTGGAGTTTTCTTAACCTCTAAAACATCATGTGTTGCAAGTAGCTCTGATGGAAATTTAAGGCAAGCGGAGATACCATATTATGGGAAGTTAGAAGATATTATTGAGATCAATTATAATGGACGATTCAAGGTTGTTCTTTTCAAATGTAAATGGGCTGATACTACTCGAGATAGAGGGTATCAAAAGGATCGTTGGAATTTTAATTGTGTTAATTTTGATAAACTGATTCACACGGGTGAACGTGAAGAACATGAGCCTTACATCGAAGCATCTCAAGCACATTTGGTGTTCTATGTGGATGATATTGTCAATAAAGGTTGGAGTGTTGCTGTGCATCTAAAGCCAAGAGATATGTACGATATGGGAGAAGTAATAGAAGAAGAAGTATATGAGAATGAACCATACCAAGAGCAAGAACTTGAACAGTTTTATGCTGATGGTGATGACTATGTACAACTAGCTACAGATCATATAATTGATGATATAGTAGATCCAAATGTTGCTACTGACCTAGCAACAAATGCAATGTCTGAATGAGTTTTATGATTACCATTAATACTACCAGTTCTTTTTGAAGTATGTTTGGTGCTTATGTGTGATTTTCTTTAATCTGATTTGGAATGAATTTTGTCATCATTTATCATTCAATGAGGCTTTGATTAGACTAATTCAATCGAAGTTGAAATTATCTTTGTTTTTTTCTACGGAGATTTTAGTTAATTCATTTTTTGATTTGACTTTTCTATGTTGATATATTTTCTGTCATTGGATGGATATGCTTGCTTAACTAGAAAAAGGTTGAACTTTGATTGGATAAAGACTTCCTCATAGAGATTTAACTTTGAATTTCTTAGGACTTAATTTTGAACAGATTGTGTGTAGTTCTTTATACAGATAATTGTAAGTTAAGTCGAGCCGAGTTAGTTGCGGTGTTAAACTATCTTCTCAAAGCAACCCTGAACGTCCAGGGAGAAAGGGAATGTCGACTCTGTGCCGAGCAGATAGATTTGACAAATTCAGTTGACGCCTTGCAGTGTTGGCTATGAGGTTCATATATTTTTCCTATATTCTCTTAGAATGTTCCTCGAATTCCTTTATCAAAAACGTATATACTGGAATCCTTTCCTTTTTGAATGTCATTTTAAAGGATATGTGTTTGTAAAATTGCTTTCAGGTTTATAAGCACGATTGTATTTCATCTTAGGAAGAGTAAAAGGAAATTCAGTTTGTGAAACCTCATAATCTTTCCTTGTTTTGTCATAGAGATGAAAATTGATAGGGTGTTTTGAAATGTTGCAGCCCTGTATGCGTAGGAAAAGTTGGACTGGTTGTGCGAATTCACTTAGCCAGAGGTGTAACACCATCCCCTTTATGCTGCTGATTAATTGCTGCCCAGATTTTCAGTTTAGCAGCAATATTAATAGCCTTTACAACTTCAGTTCCACTATTTTTCTGGCCAGAACTTTTGAGTTCCGATGGCACAGGCAAATCTCGATCAACAGCTTGTAGTTGGTACTGATTTCAAAACTGTTTCATGTCCTTGTTTATCAAGAGCTTGTTTAGTTTTTCAACTTGATTAACTAAAATACAAAGCTTATTGATCACTCACGGCAGCTGCTCCATCTAAGTCCTCATCTTGATTTTTTTTAAAATATCTGTAGCATCAAATACTTTACCAGAGTTCCCGCCCTTGCCATTAACAACTGAAACAACCCCATTTTGAATAGTTAACTCATTCCCTTGAACCTTTCAATTGTGTTGAATGTTATTTGTTCTAGTACTTAAAGCATCCGATTTCTCATTCAAATCAATAACATTTTTTGCTGTTCGTCTTGCATTAATAATTTTCCTAGCTTCTGTTGCATCAAGTCTAAGACCATATATATTCATTGTTGTAGAGGGACTTTGTAGAAACAACAAATAAAATATGAAAATTCTACTTTTTGTGATTCTGCGTCATATATTTGTACAGTCAAGATATCCACAACTAGATCCTTCATGTGCATCTCTTTGAAATGGAATTTTTGTAAAAAGTTGAAATCTACATGTGCACCTTGAGACCCCATGTTTCTTGAGTAAAGATCCTTCATTTTTCATACCTGTAGGCTATTCAGTTAATGGGAAATCTGCCTTTCAAGCGATCACTTCAGAGCACCACATAGTATATGCAGCTACTCTTGACAGGTAACAGGAAAGTTACTTTGCTTTCTTAACTTTTTCTTGTTATCCCTCCATCTATTGTGTTCATCCCTCTCATATCCTGATGCCTTTTTAAGTGTATAAATAGTGAAAAAAATGATGTCTCACTTTCTGGTGTTAATATATGTGTTATTGGGCCAACATAACATTCTCTGTGATGAGCCTACCTTTGACCAAGTCACTTTGATTCTTAGAGATTAGTTTCTCAAGTAGAGGATTCAATCTAATAGAAAGGATTTTAGAAATAACCTTGCAGGAGAAGATAGTTGAAATAATCGGTCTAAGATCAGAGAAGCCGACTGGAGGATATATTTTAGGATTAAGGACCAAGCGGGTGTGAGTGAAAAAATTGTCAAGTTTTTTGCCATTGAAAAAACTTTGACAACATAATTGGAAATTTTGTTCCAACTTTTGTGATAAAAGGTACCATTATAGCCGTTAGGTCCTGCATAATTAGTAGAACTCATGCTAAAAACAACATTCTTAATCTCCTCCATATTAGGCATAGTAATAAGATAGGCATTATCCTCCTCAGTGATGATACTAGGAATGCAATCAGTGATTTTGGTATCTGTAAAACTGTGGGGAAGATTAAAAAGATGTTCAAAATGGTATGTGGCAGCATGAGATATACCTTTATCACCTTGGATCCACATGTCTCGATGATCTATAATATTGTGAATATGAAGCTTCCTCCTTCTTTCCCTTACAACACTGTGAAAATATTTAGAGTTTTTATCCCCATCTTTAAACCGATCTATTTGAGCTTTATGTTTCAATAAGTTCTCTTGCATGATCATCCACTACCGGTGCAGCCTCAGCAGCAGGTTGCAGCAGCAGCAGAGACCAAAGGGCGTCGCAGCTCTCAGTCGCACAAGCTGGCCGTCGCACAGCTCTCAGCGCAGAAGTCGATATAAGGTAAGTTTATTTTTTTCATGGTGTTTTTATTCATTTACTGAAAAATCCTTGCCCATGTAAAAATAAAGCTTTGATTTCTTTTTAGAAACAACTTAAAATGATATGGTTCTAGATCTGATAATACTTCTTTAAACACTACTGTAATTGTCTCTTTTTTTCTTCATCTTTTTTCGTTGTAATTTTGTGAAAGGGAGAGAGGATCATTTAGGAGAAAATGAGGATAAAATAAAAGGGGATGGTTTAGGATTATTACTTTATATTATATTTTGGTTCAAATTCCTCCTAATTGTGAAAATTTTATTCCTATTTTTTTATTTATTATTGGAATATAGAAATAGCAGGGGTGGTGATGTACAGGATCAAGTGGGGTCTAATTAATCCTCACAGTCACTAAGAGGAAGAGATTACTTGGGAAATATCTTTGATAGATCTATTATATTTCATGTGACTTTTAACCAGTTGGCCAGCAGAGATAGCTCACTAGCAAGAACAGATGTTTGGAAATTATTGTTAGTGTAAGTATTGGGGTGCTTATACTTAGAAACTACCTTTGAATATAGTCTTAAGACTAACAAATATTGAGGCCAGCACTAAAATATTGAGGCCAACACTAGATGTTTTGATAGAGGAGGTAGTTTTTGCTTTTTAGTGTTATATCCAACATGTAAAGATTAAGCTTTTACAAGACCAAGTTACTAATAATTTTGTGGAGTGGGTGTGGGGTTAAGACAACTTCATTATAAGAAAAAAGTACAAAATGGACAAAGATTCTAATAAAAGATATACAAACAATAGTGGAAAGGGAGAAACCATAAGAGTCCACCAAAGAGAAAAAGATGCAAGTGCTATGTATGAAACCTATTTGAGAAGATAAAATACACATTATGTAGCTCATAAACAAGAAGATCTGGTAAAATCAATTACTTCTCTAACAAGAGATCCTCAAACACAAATGAGTTGCATTGTAATTTCCAAGTGATGCTTTCAAAAGTCGGAAATCTTGAATAGATGAAGGAATTAGGTGTTTACCAATTGTCAACTGTTAATAATGACTGAAATCTCTCTATAATGAGCACTAAAGAAATTTTAAATTGTTTCTTTTTGTGCTAGGCAACTGAGGAAGCTCAACATCTAAAAAAGTTGATACAAGACTATACTGCTTCTTTCATCAAAGTAGGAGATAAGGTTTGGTGCTTCTAAATTTCTAAAGTTCAAGTACAATTGTTTTCTATAATGTGTTTGTGTCCATCTAGTATTGATACTTAGCTTTAATTTTATGATAATTTGTTTGTGTCCATTGAGTGTTTGTTTAGCATAAGTACCAACACTAGTTGATCCTATTGATGACAAAATTGATTTTCTTGCAAGATCAATTTGTGTCCATCTAGTGTTGACACTTGGCTTTAATTTAGAAATAATATGTTTGTTAAGCATAAGTACCAACACTAGTTG